GGATTTATATATTATTATTATACAGGATTTATATATCATTATTATTATACAGGATTTATATATCATTATTATTATACAGGATTTATATATCATTATTATTATACAGGATTTATATAGCACCAACAGTTTGCTCAGCGCTTTACAATATAACAGGAGACAATACAGCAACAATACAGTTCAATACAAGAGGGATTTGAGGGCAATATAAAATATAATAAAATATACAATATAAAATTGTAGATCAAGAATTAGGTGACTAATGGAGGCTGAGGTCAAAAATGGGACCTTGCTCATTGGAGACCCATAGGGCCTAAATAGTCATAACCAAATACCTTCTCCAGTACCTTAACGTTGAGTTCCGGCCCCCACCACCTCCAAAAAGAAAAAGAAAAAGTTAAAAAAGTCCTCCGTTACAAATACTGTGGCTGCTGACTTTTATTAGTAGGGCACTTACCTGTCCATGCATCCAGCAGTGTCCTCCCCCCGAGCCAATTCCTCGGCTGTCGGGCGCTGGTGCTGCCATCTTGACTAAGGGACTACAGCCTTGCGGCTTCATTGCCGGTTTCCTACTGCGCATGCATGAAGCGCACTGTGCTTTGTGAATAGGCTGCAGTCCTCTGGGACCTTGGAAGTGTCCCAGAGGACTGCAGGGGGTGCTGAACTTCCGGCTCAGGTGGCGAACTCAACTGAAGTGGGAGCGGGTACCTGTCAAAACTAGGTACCTGCTCCCCCCCGAAAAGGTGCCAAATGTGGCAACAGAGGGGGGAGAGAAGGCAGAAAAGCGGAGCTTCCACTTTTTATGTGTGCTTTAATCAATTCAATACCAGGCACTTTCACCCCCTTCCTGCCCAGGCCATTTTTCAGGTTTCAGCGCTCTCACACTTTGAATGACAATTGCGCGGTCATACAACACTGTACCCAAACTAAAATTTTATCATTTTCTTCACACAACTAGAGCTTTCTTTTGGTGGTATTTAATCACCGCTGGGGTTTTTATTTTGTTTGTGCTAAAATCAACAAAAAAAAGACCGAAAATTAAAATAAATAAATAAACACGTTTTTCTTTGTTTCTGTCATAAAAGTTTGCAAATAAATAATTGTTCTTCATAAATTTAGGCCGAGATGTATTCTGCTACATGTCTTTGGTGACAATAACCCAAATTAGAATGTATTTTTTAGTTTGTAGGAAAGTTATAGAGTTCAAAAACTATGGTATAGATCTGAATATTGATCAATCCTGAAGTACTGACGGCCAATCTAATTTCTTGAGGTCCAAGAATATCAGAACAGTACAGATATCCCCCAAATGACCCCTTTTTGCAAAGTAGAAAATCCGACATACTTCATGGTGAGTTTTTTGAAGTTGTATTTTTTGTCATAATTTTTTGGAAAATTAAAAAAATAAAAAAATTATTTTCACTATTTTTTTTTTACATACTGTCACCAGTATGCAAAGAATTACTTTGCTATAAGCAAGCATTTACCTAAATGACCGATTAATTCAGGGTTTGTTTTTTTTTTGTGCTTAGCTGTGATTTGGCCACGGCTAATCACATGACACAGCTGGGCTGTGATTGGCCCAGCTTGTGCATGTGATCGCTGTGACCATTCACAGCTAAACACTAGTATACAGTGGATGGCATGAATGAAGCCATCCATTGTATACAACTGTCATGTGACCTGCTGTGATTGGTCACAGCAGGTCACAAAGTACTGGCAACGGGGCCGGTACTCAGATCTGTCATCGGCCGTGTCCGAGGTACACGGCCGGTGACAGATTGCGCCGCTGCGCGGCTCTGCAGGCGCGCAAACTGCGCATGCCCGGGAGGACGCCATATGGCGTCCACCCGGAACGCTGAGGGATTTTGCCGGCCGCCAAACGGCCATTGGCCGGGCATCAAATGGTTAAGCAAATGTGCAAATAAACTGCTTGTCTGCATGGCGGAAGGTAAATTCTGTGCAGGGTGGAGGTGGTTATGGGACCTTTTACGGTTGGGGATTTTAGATACAGGAGCTACTGGGGTGGGAAACTTAGATGCAGGAAAGTTAATGAGGTTGTAAAGTCTAAACATTTTTTACCTTAATGCATTCCTTGCAGTAACCACGTAAGCTCCGCAAGGTTTTACCTCCTTCATGACCAGGCCATTCTTTGCTGTTAAACACTACGCTACTTTAACGGACAATGAACAACAGTTGACATCTTGCAACGCTGTATTCAAATGAAATTTATATAATTTTTTTGCAAACAAATAGAGCTTTCTTTTGGTGGTATTTGATCACCACTGGGTTTTTTTTTTATTATATAAAAGAAAAGACCGAAAAATCTAAAAAAAAATATATATATATATATATTTTTTAGTTTCCGCTCGAAAAACATATCCAATAAAAATTAAAATGAAAATCAAATGTAACCCCTTGCCTACCAGGCACTTACAGTCAGGTCCATAAATATTGGGACATCGACACAATTCTAACATTTTTGGCTCTATACACCACCACAATGGATTTGAAATGAAACGAACAAGATGTGCTTTAACTGCAGACTGTCAGCTTTAATTTGAGGGTATTTACAGCCAAATCAGGTGAATGGTGTAGGAATTACAACAGTTTGCATATGTGCCTCCCACTTGTTCATTTCAAGTGTGCTATTTGCATTTGGAATCTGTTGCTGTCAACTCTCAAGATGAGATCCAAAGAGCTGTCACTATGAGTAAAGCAAGCCATCATTAGGCTGAAAAAACAAAACAAACCCATCAGAGAGATATCAAAAACATTAGGCGTGGCCAAAACAACTGTTTGGAACATTCTTAAAAAGAAGGAACGCATCGGTGAGCTCAGCAACACCAAAAGACCCAGAAGACCACGGAAAACAACTGTGGTGGATGACCGAAGAATTCTTTCCCTGGTGAAGAAAACACCCTTCACAACAGTTGGCCAGATCAAGAACACTCTCCAGGAGGTAGGTGTATGTGTGTCAAAGTCAACAATCAAGAGAAGACTTCACCAGAGTGAAATCAGAGGGTTCACCACAAGATGTAAACCATTGGTGAGCCTCAAAAACAGGAAGGCCAGATTAGAGTTTGCCAAACGACATGTAAAAAAGCCTTCACAGTTCTGGAACAACATCCTATGGACAGATGAGACCGAGATCAACTTGTACCAGAGTGATGGGAAGAGAAGAGTATGGAGAAGGAAAGGAACTGCTCATGATCCTAAGCATACCACCTCATCAGTGAAGCATGGTGGTGGTAGTGTCATGGCGTGGGCATGTATGGCTGCCAATGGAACTGCTTCTCTTGTATTTATTGATGATGTGACTGCTGACAAAAGCAGCCGGATGAATTCTGAAGTGTTTCGGGAATATTATCTGCTCATATTCAGCCAAATGCTTCAGAACTCATTGGACGCTTCACAGTGCAGATGGACAATGACCCAAAGCATACTGCAAAAGCAACCAAAGAGTTTTTTTTAAGGGAAAGAAGTGGAATGTTCTGCAATGGCCAAGTCAATCACCTGACCTGAATCCGATTGAGCATTTCACTTGCTGAAGACAAAACTGAAGGGAAAATGCCCCAAGAACAAGCAGGAACTGAAGACAGTTGCAGTAGAGGCCTGGCAGAGCATCACCAGGGATGAAACCCGGCGTCTGGTGATGTCTATGCGTTCCAGACTTCAGGCTGTAATTGACTGCAAAGGATTTGCAACCAAGTATTAAAAAGTGAAAGTTTGATTTAAGATTATTATTCTGTCCCATTACTTTTGGTCCCTTAACAAGTGGGAGGCACATATGCAAACTGTTGTAATTCCTACACCGTTCACCTGATTTGGCTGTAAATACCCTCAAATTAAAGCTGACAGTCTGCAGTTAAAGCACATCTTGTTCGTTTCATTTCAAATCCATTGTGGTGGTGTATAGAGCCAAAAATGTTAGAATTGTGTCCATGTCCCAATATTTATGGACCTGACTGTATACCCCCTTCCTTACCAGGCCAATTTTCAGCTTTCAGCGCCGTCGCACTTTGAATGACAATTGCGTGATCATGTAAGATTGTACTCATATGAAATTTTTATAATTTTTTTTCTCACAAATAGAGCTTTCTTTTGGTGGTATTTACTCACCGCTGGGTGTTTTATTTTTTGCGTTATAAACAAAAAAGAGCAAAAAAATTTGCTGAAAAAAAAAAAGTTTCTTGGTTTCTATTATAAAATTTTGCAAACAGGTAATTTTTCTCCTTCACTGATGTGCATTGATGAGGCTGCACTGATGGGTACTAATAGTCGGCACTGACTGGCGGCACTGCTGAGCTGTACTGATGGGCACAGGTGGGCGGCACTGATGGGTGGCACTGCTGGGCACCGATCATTAGGGCACTGATCATCAGTGCCGATCCCTGCTCTGATAGCGTGAGGAAAGTGCAGGCGAGAAGCGTCAACTGCATTTCCCGGTGATCAGCGTGTCATTGGACACAGCTGATCACGTGGTAAAAGGCAGCTGTCATTGGCCTTTTACCACATCACATGATCAGCTGTGTCCATAGGACACAGCGATCACGGAGGTCGACGGGTGCACGCTCCTGGGGGCGCTTTAGGAGAGCGCGTTCTGGGAGGACGTCATATGACGGCATCCCAGAACTGGACAGACGCAGTGCAGCCGTCATTTGGCTACCTGCGGTCGGCAACTAGTTAATCATAAACTTAGGCCAAAATGTATTCTGCTGCATGTAAAAAACAAATTCCAATAAGTGTATATTAATTGGTTTATGGGAAAGTTATAATGTCTACAAACTAGATACTGGAATTTGTATTTATTTATTTTTTATACCAGTAATGGTAAACATCAGAAGTGGGATAGCGTGGCGGGCAATCTGACACTAATCAAAATGAAAAATCTGTCTGTCTACTAAAAAGGTATGACGTTTTAAGATTGGCCATAGAGTGCCACAATTTTCATACTTCCTGGAAACCACAAAATATCAAAACTACAAAATACCTAAACTCACCTCATCAACTTCCCTGCGGCTGATATCAAAGGTGATGTTGAAGAGGGTCTTCAGGATCTCCATCACCCTCTCAGTCTCCTCCTTGCCAAGTGGTGGAGCAAGATGATCTGTAACAACCTCGTAGATATCAGACCACTTCAAGGCAAGGGTGCTTTCTAGAGCATCAGTGAGCAGACTAACGCCCCTCAACTCCCGGGCCAGCTGTCTTCTGACGTCTACCCTTAGTGCCGTGAGGAGGAAAAGAAGGCGGAGATCAAAAAAATTTGCTTTCGTGAGACAACCTGGTCTCATTGTAGAGCTTGAGACGCCGAGCCAAGCCACACACCAGTCGCAGCTCCTTGGCCACTTCCTGAGCCTCCACGCTATTATAGACAATGTTACACAGAGCCTTCAAAGCTTCCACAACACTCTCACTGTCCGGCATGCGAGGCACCTCCGTCTCTTCCGAGTAGTCCAACCCTGCGTACTGGGCCAGGATCTGCATTGCCGAGCGGCTGGTGAAGGGAGACAATCCATACTTGTCTCTTGAAAGAATTCGGATGGTTTCCAGACAGACAACTTGACAAGATGGCTGAAGATCCCGTTCCAGGAACTTGATCACCAACTCACCCAGTTTCTAGACAAAACCAAAAGCGCAGTTAGCAAAGCAAAGTCATACATCCTCTCTAAAGTTCTCATTTCGTTAGTCATTTCTCTCTATCGGTGAGAAAACAAAAAGGAATCTGATGGGTTGCTTGTGGCAGCACCAATTTTCTTAAACCAAAATATGACCAAAAGCAGAAATCCTTCCAAAATCAGTTTCTTAAATTAGCAAAGTATTATTATTATTATTATTATTATACAGTATTTATATAGCGCCAAAGGGTATGCTCAGCGCTGTACAGTAGCAAGGGGGACAGAACATGAGACAATACAGTAACAACACACGAGGGGTTCGGGGGCCCTGCTCTTTCGAGCTTACAATCTAGGAGGGAGGGAGGGGAAGGTGATGCAGGAGGAGATGGCAGTGGGGGATGGAGTGGTGGGAGGAGTGGAGAAGGTTAGTTGTTAGGTGAGGTCGGGTGTTAGGTTAGGTAGGCTTCCCTGAAGAGGAGGGTTTACTGTCATCAGATCACCAGTTGGGGGGATGGGGTTGTGTCACTGACGTGGAAGAATAGCCCTGCCTCAACGAAGATGGCCTCCTCCACATAGAGAGACACAGAGCAGAACAAGGCATGGGGGAAGATCAGCTGCAGGGTGACCGCAGACATTGCTGGTGACTAGTCCTTTGTCCACAGCATTCACAGTACAGGTCCTCTTTAAGCTGTAGTTTTGATGTATTCCTATGTCCAGGGACAGACTCAATAAATATATTAATATCTCCATATACAGTCTACCTGGCCTGTGTCTGACCCCCTCTTATTGCGGCTCTGATACACTCCATCCATAACATATTATATATTAGCCACCTCTCGGTTCTGAGTGCAGAAGTGTGATAACAATGGAATATTCGGATTGTCTTGCCTACAAAATGTCACCTAAAGCACCAGAGTAGATTGTCTACAACAAACGGAGTGAGGGAATGCCAATAAATTCTGCACAGGTGACCTCATACTGGAGGCGGAGCCATCCTGTCCATATGTGGATTTAAAGTGGACCTTTTAAAGCACAATGGTGCAGTCAGTTTGTGATCTGTAAAATCAATTAATATCCAATACAAGCAAAACGGTAAAAAAAAAGTTCCAATACAAAATAAATAGGACAGAGGTGACTCCCGTGCCCTGGCAACTCCGGACCCGGCACCAGCGCAACAGCGGTGAAAGCAATGCGCACCCACCGGACGCGCATGTACAATGCGCCCTACGCCAACAATCCAGATGTCATCAGATAGGAAAGGGTCAGGAACCAGAAGATCACACAACAGCAAATAATGTAGGGTCCAAATTAGTTTTGTGTCTATTTTGAAGGAAAAATCTGTCTCATCTCCAGTGATAAATCGGCTGCAGACCTGAACAAATCTGAAATTCTTGGCAATTTAGCTAACTACGACAGACTGACTGGGTAAATGAACCTTCCAGCATCCCCAATAAGTGGGAAATTAGTTTTATGCAAACTTATTATTTAATTTACTATTATTAATTTATTTATTACAGGTACGTATATAATATCATCAATTTACGCAGAACTTTACATATATATTGTACATTCACATCAGTCCCCGCCCTCAAGGAGCGTACAATCTAAGGTCCCTAACTGACATTCATACATACACATACTAGGGCCAATTTAGACAGAAGCCAATTAACCTACCAGCATGTCTTTGGTGTGTGGAGGAAACCAAAGTACCCGGAGGAAACCAACGCAGGTGCAGGGAGAATATGCAAACTCCAGGCAGGTAGTGCCGTGGTTGGGATTTGAACCGATGACCCTAGTGCTGCTAGGCAGAAGTGCTAACCACTTAGCCACTGTGTTGCCCACTTAGGCCCCTTTCAAACGAGCAGACCAAATTGGGTCCGTCTGTCCGTTTTTCAAGCAGACCCGATCGGACGCTCCATTGCTCCGTTTACACGCACCTGCATCTGATCTGATCCTGTCCGCTAAGAACATTTGGATGGGGATCCATTCCCCATCCATCTGGTGGATCGGATGGGATGACAGTTGGGTGGAAACAGACAGGCGGTCCGTTTCTATCCGACAGCCCATAGAGGATAGAAGGTGGTGTCTGTGTCCCCTCAGCCAAGCAGAGTGGACACCGACCAGTCATCTGCTTGCTCAGTGGGGATCAGCGGGCAGATACCCCGCTGAACAAGCAGATCCAAGGATACTTCCACCCCGTGTGAAAGGGGCTGTAGGCTTTTATAATAAAAACTAGGTTACAAAAAAAAAAAAAAAAGAAAAAAGGAATAGTTTCCCGATATCTGCATGTTTATGTAGAACTAGGGCATTCTCATCTCACCTGTCGCAGTTTAAACTCTGGATCATCAGAGCAATCGGAGTCATAATCCGAGTCTGACCTGGGGACCCAGTCTCGGAATTTCTTTTGCCTAAACTACAAGTATGAAAAGGAAAAAAGAAGATAAGGAGGGATCATCATAAAACAAAAGCAGACCCCATATTGATACCATACCCAAGGCAACTAGATATACCTTTGTACCTACTGCCTGAGCAAGAGATATAGCTGGAACCTAAACTGGCAGTTACTGCAAAGCATTTGGTACTGCACTAGAAGCAGCAGGGAAAGCCAAGATGATAATGAACAGTAAAGTAAGGTAGATAGGTTGAACGGCTTATTTGAAAACATGGCTAAAACAACTTATCAGATGTCAGCTATCAAAAATCCATGGGTTACTGCACACGATATGGGTATACTCAGCACAGACATTTGTAATCTGGATTTTCCACATCCCCTTGTTGGCACACTGCATATGGACAGCAAAATTTAAATTGACTGTAAACTCTCACCTTGTAAAACAACCCATTCAGTTTAAAAGAGAAAGGAAAAGCAAAACATTTGTGTATAGATATAAAAAGAAGCATTATAAACACCTTTTTCTATTTTTTTTTTTAAAAGGTAGCTAAAAAAAAAAAAATAATCATTATGTACATGCTTCTTAAATCCGATACCTAGCCCTTAGTGAACCTATCCCAGGCCGAGGTCTTATGCTTAGGCCCGCTGTGGTAGTCTCCCAAGCAGAGATCTGATGCATAGGCCCACTGGGGTAGCCTCTCAGGCAGAGATCTGATGTCTAGACTGATAGTGGAGGCCTCAATGGTAGAGATTTGATGTATATGAAAGTAGTAAGAATCTGTCACGCAAACATCTGAAATCTAGGTGCATGGTGCGATTCTCCAAGACCAAAATCTGAGGTCTAGTCTAGAACCATAGTTGGATTGTCCAAGGCAGATATTTAATTCCTAGGCCCAGAATGGTAGCCTCCCAGGCTGAGATCTGGTGCCTAGGCCCACTGGGGTAGTCTCTCAGGGCAGAGATCTGATGTCTAGGCCCATAGTGGAGACCTCAATGCAAGAGATTTTATGCATACAAAAGTAGTAAGAATCTGTAAGGCAAACATCTGAAATCTAGGTGCACGGTGAGATTCTCCAAGACCAAAATCTTAGGTCTAGCCTAGGACCATAGTTGGGCTTGTCCAAGGCAGATATTTAATACATAGGCCCATAATACTAGTCTCCCAAGCAGGGATCTGATGCATAGGCCCAGGGGGATAGTCTCCCAAGCAGGGATCTGATGCATAGGCCCACTGGGGTAGTCTCTGGGGTAGTCTCAGGTAGAGATCTGATGTCTAGACTGATATTGGAGGCCTCAATGGTAGAGATTTGATGTATATGAAAGTAGTAAGAATCTGTCACGCAAACATCTGAAATCTAGGTGCATGGTGCGATTCTCCAAGACCAAAATCTGAGGTCTAGCCTAGGACCATAGTTGGATTGTCCAAGGCAGATATTTAATTCCTAGGCCCAGAATGGTAGCCTCCCAGGCTGAGATCTGGTGCCTAGGCCCACTGGGGTAGTCTCTCAGGGCAGAGATCTGATGTCTAGGCCCATAGTGGAGACCCCCAATGCAAGAGATTTGATGCATACAAAAGTAGTAAGAATCTGTCAGGCAAACATCTGAAATCTAGGTGCACGGTGAGATTCTCCAAGACCAAAAAAACTTAGGTCTAGCCTAGGACCATAGTTGGGCTTGTCCAAGGCAGATATTTAATACATAGACCCATAATGCTAGTCTCCCAAGCAGGGATCTGATGCATAGGCCCAGAGGGATAGTCTCCCAAGCAGAGATCTGATGCCTAGGCCCACTGTGGTAGTCTCCCAGGCAGAGATCTGATGTCTAGACTGATAGTGGAGGCCTCAATGGTAGAGATTTGATGCATATGAAAGTAGTAAGAATCTGTCACGCAAACATCTGAAATCTAGGTGCACGGTGTGATTCTCCAAGACTAAAATCTGAGGTCTAGCCTAGAACCATTGTTTGATTGTCCAAGACAGATATTCAATACCTAGGCCCATAATGGTAGATCTGATGCCTAGGCCCACTGGGGTAGTCTCTCACGAAGAGATCCAAGGTCAGGGTCCATAGTGGAAGACCCACAATGGAAGCTTTTCAGGTAGCGATAGGAGGCCTAGGCACGTATTGGTTGTATACCATCTGAAAATTAAAATCAATGCCTAGAACCATCACCAAGCCAATGCCAGGTCGTGTGGTAAAGATTGGTAAAGATTTACCACACAGAGCTTGCCGACTCACCACAGAAATAAAGTGGTTGGATTTGCGTAACCCTAAACCAAGACTACACGAAAAAATACAGGGCAGAAGCGTGCCCCCAAAAAGGAAATTACTCTGCAGATCAAGCAGCTTACGAACACAAGGCTTTAATAAATATCAAAAATACAAAGCACTCAAGAGCATAAATACCAACCCATCATGGGTTAGCATTTATGCTCTGAGTATTTTGTATTTTTGATATTTATTAAAGCCTTGTGTTCGTAAGCTGCTTGATCTGCAGAGTAATTCCTTTCTGGGGGCACGCTTCTGCCCTGTATTTTTTAATGAACGTATTGATTGTATCCCTGTCAGAGGTCTAGTGCCTAGGCCCATAATGGAAAACTTGCAGAGGT